CCCGCGGCGTCCGAGCGCTCCTGCTCTGCTGGACGGGCGGACGCCTTGGCCTGGGGCCTAGCGGCATCCGGACCGCCCCGGTGCAGCCTGGGCTGTCTGTCCATCCCCTCGCCATGCCCGAATTCCCCCACCCTTGCGCCGTGCGATGCGCTGAGTGTTGACGTGGTGGCACAAGTACATCCGTGTGCTCCCGTACCGCGTAGTGCGTTCGCCCTTGATTTAGCAACCGGGGAGCCAGGAATTGCTTTTTTTTCTGTCGCGGTCCCGCGTGTGCAGAATAATGTTTCCTAATGTTTTCTCACGAGAAGCTATGCTGCTGCCCACTGTCCTTCTCTCCAACGTGTCGCTCTGAGGTACCTGTGAACCAGAGCTGGCCAGGTTTGTCCTCGTGGACATGAGCGGTAGTGTTGGGTGTCAGGGTCTTGTACAGTTCTTCCCTTGTCCTGAAAATTCCTCCTCCGTTTTGAAAGATCCCAGGAGCATGAAATGCTCCCTCCCACCGGTGGGAGAAAGGACACCGCTCAGTTTTGTTCTGAGTTGTCCTTACCCAGGCCTGCAGTGCCTCTGCTGTGTAGAGCTTTACTGAGCTCCTGCTCTGCCTTCTCGTCACCCTCGCCTGCTCGCTGCATGCGCTGACACTGGAGGAAACCACCTGCAGGCAACCTGAGTTTGTAAGTCGGGCCTACGTGGTCGCTGTTCTCGTCCGTGTTTTCACTGTACTCATTTTCTGAATACAAGCGCTGAGCCACGCAGCTTCAGCTGCTCTCGTGGTGGCTTCCAGAGGCTTTGGAAGGTGTACACAGGAGTAATTTGTCTTAATTTCCTTCTGGACACACGTCTTTTATTCCCAAGAGTAATGTAGATTGGAGACAGTCAGGAAGCAGCTGTTTAAATTCAGTTGCGGAGATGAATCCTTCCCTGTGTACGTGGATTTCACCTGCCTGGTTCTACCTCCCCAGTACAGTTACACAAGTGTTAATGGATTCCTATGAAACCCTTGGGCCAGGGGGAGACTTTCCCCACATGCACAGAGGCACCTATGTAACGACTTTGCTAGGAATGTGCAGGAATCCAGAACCTGAGCCCAGATCCCCATCATCAAAGCCCTGTACCTTGACTTTGAGATGTCATTTCTGCTCATTGCTGTTTTATGCTCCCAAGGTATGGATTTTATGCATTTGGTACTGGTGGGTACCAGCTGAAGAGGGTGCTTCTCAGCAAGGATGCATTTGGGGAACAGAGATTGTACCTGAAACATAAAACTTGGTTGGTTGACAATCTGTTGTCTCATTCTTCCAAAAGAGGAGTCAGTTTTCATCCAGCTTTCCGTGTGCTTAGGTTGAACCATCCCAATGTAGTAAGAGCCTGTGACGTTCCCGAGGAGATGAACTTTCTGGTTAATGACGTTCCTCTTCTGGCAATGGAGTATTGTTCAGGGGGTGACCTCCGGAAGGTAATGTCTGCTTTGCTTTGCAATATGTAGCAAAATACATGGAGTTAATGCTGTTTCCATAACTGTGGTTGTGAAACCATGTACGTTCTGTGGTGCTTTTCTTTTTAGGTACAGGTGTGGGGAAGTCAATGCAAAGTGGAAAAAAACTGTGTGTGGGAAATGAGGCCTGTGTTTTTGAAAAAGAGGACAGAGAGCAGTCCAAGGGCAGATCCTCCTTTGTCCTGAAGCAGCACGCCCTTTGATGGAACTGCTTTAGCATTCATACAACTTCCCGTAGCCTGGATACTCGCACCCAGCGTGTTTGGCTTTGCTGCAGTGTGTCTGATCTGGCTTTGATTCACCTGTATCCAGTGTTGTGTCGCTTTCAGCCCAGGGAAGGATCCTCTTGGCACTGGAGTGGGGCCTCCAGGGCTTCAGAGACTTCCCTGTT